AAAAGAAGGATAGTAGTTGGCTGCCCTGATATATTAGTTTCGGTTAACCTTTGTATTAAAAGCTTAAAAAAAAATAGTTTTACGAATGACGAAAAAATAATGCTGAAAACTAGTTAATTAGTTTATTCATGCTTCGGAAAAATAGCTTTATTTCTTAAAAAAAATATTTTCTGCTTTACTTTTCTACCGCTTTGTAAAATATTTTCAACGTTGGTATATAAGCTGCAGTTATTTTATCATGAAATAGTAGTGCTTACTGAATATTTTAAGTACTAAATACTTTTATTTTCAGTGTGATGGCTTAAAGTCACTTTTCAAGTGTAGAAAGTAAAAACGTATATTTTCCCACATCTTTAATTAAAAACATTACACTTTCCCAAAATTAGTGATAGTTGACAGGTATAAAAATTTGATAACATTCGATACTAGAAAGACTGAATCTTGCGGTATACCTAGAAAAACTGAAGGGACCAGTTTTACCTTTCCTTAATAGTTCGAGTTTCGATCAATTAGACATCCAAAAATACTTGTATAATCGTAATTAATTTAATAAAAGCATATGATAAACTTGATCATCGAAATTCTATTGTTTTTTTTTCGATTTGGCTAACGGAAATATTTCATTAAACAGGGGACTGGCATTTCTTTAGTCTTTAGTTTCTTTTTGACTTATACTTTAATTTCTGAGGTTTCTATACTTTTCTTTATAAATAATAATTATAGATATGTTGACATACCCTTGCTTTCTAATGAAACTGGGGTACCTTATTCTAACCAGTGTATATTTTATACCCAAAACTATCCAGGGTTACTGGATATCCACCAAAACATCTAAGGGGCCACTCTGGTTATTCCCGTCATTAAAAGTTTAATGTTCTATATATACCTGAATATATATAAGTAAGCACTTAAGTAGGATCAAGTCATGAAAAGCCAGTCATTTTTCATTACTTTCAGTTAGTTATTTTTCGAAATACAGAACAACGAAAAACGAGAGCTACTAAATTTAAAATCCACCGTCTATCTAGCGTTAAAAAGTAACTTTTGATTGCATATCATAGAAGAGTTATATAATGTTTTGATTCGATTTTCTTATTAAAAACCTCTATTTCTACTGTTCCGTTTACCGTTTATTATGAAGCTCTCGATCATTTCGGATAAAAATAAGTGTAATTAAAATCCTCTGAAACAAGGGCTGACAAAGTTTGTGCTGAGAGTGGAGTACCGCTTCGTGACTAAGACTTTAATTCTAATAGTAATCCTTTTACAACACTTCAATTCTAATATTAATCCTTTTATAACACTTCAATTCTAATATTAATCCTTTTATAACACTTCAATTCTAATAGTAATCCTTTTATAACACTTCAATTCTAATATTAATCCCTTTATAACACTTCAATTCTAATATTAATCCCTTTTATAACATTTCAATTCTAATAGTAATCCTTTTATAACACTTCAATTCTAATATTAATCCCTTTTATAACATTTCAATTCTAATATTAATCCTTTTATAACACTTCAATTCTAATATTAATCCCTTTTATAAGACTTCAATTCTAATATTAATCCCTTTTATAAGACTTCAATTCTAATATTAATCCTTTTATTAGACTTCAATTCTAATATTAATCCTTTTATAAGACTTCAATTCTAATATTAATCCTTTTATAAGACTTCAATTCTAATATTATTCCTTTTATAAGACATCTGTTGTAATATAGGTCTTTTAGTTACTCTTGCCAACCGGCCTGTGTAGGGGTCAGGGAACTGGCCATGCATCAGAAAGGTTCTGGGTTCGAATCCCGGGCAAGGCATGGATGTTCTTCCATTCTCTGTACTGTGGTAGCAACGTTGATCCATCTAACATAGTGCCCCAGTAAAAATAGCCAACAAATCTGCTCTTCAGATGCCTGTATGACAAAAGGCGGGCATTGGAAAAAAAAGTTACACTTTAGTTTTAATATTAGTTCGCAGGTAGCAATCTGATTCCCATATAAGAAAAATAAATAAATAAAAATTTCAAAGCATAGTCAATGGAGGTCTGGATATATGTAAGACATAAAAATGTCTCCTCATTAATTTTCAGGAATGCCACGGGTGACTTAAAATGCAAGAATTGGTAAAAACTCATTTCATTTTCATTTTTTTTTAATCAATTTAATTATGCAATTGTAACTACCACCATGATTTAATTTGCACATTATTCATATATGAAACAAAAATAAATAATTAGATTCTGTTGAAAGTAAATTAAAAGAATTATCCTGGAAAAAGTTGCTACTTTAATTCTTTTTCACTGAATTTTTGTAATTTGTCAGTTTTTAATTATAGCAATTGCATGGGCGAAAGCTATGCGAAAAAGCTAGTAGTAAAGCCATTTCAGTTTTAACTTGTTTTCGGGAGGAGTAAATCTATTCTTTTTTTTCTTTTGAATTATTTAACCATGTCTACTTTTTTCTCAGGAGGGAACGCTGGAAATGTGTGGAACCTCAGCATTTGGCGCGAAGCGCCACTATTTGATTCATCGAAGCTATTTTGTCATAAATTGGTTAGGCATAAATTGATACAATAAGATGAAATGATTAAAGAAAAGGTTGGAGAGACTCCATTGTCAAGTTATCAAATTAAAATAAACTATATGCAAAATCTCAGGAAGGAAGCAAATTTATATATATATAT